ATTGAAATTTTTATAAATATTATGTAATCTAATATAAAAATTTTTGGCACTTAAATATAATAAATGGTTTATTTACATATACAAAAGAGCAATAAAAAAAAATTTGATTTTAAATGACAGATAATTTGCTATGAGGATTAGGGTTTTAATATAATGACTTAAGTTGAAATTTTTAAAGCATTATGTCTTTTGTGCATTTTACACGTTTTGCAATTTATTCAAAAAAAATTAAATAATTTCAATATTTTCAAAACTTAGCTTTAATTTTCATTTTTATAAACTATTTAATATTACTTAAAACTAAAACATTTTACAAAAATTAAAAAAATTCAAAACAAAATATTAAAATATAAACTTATATAAATATAAATTTCTGTTTTATGAAATATCTTCACATATGTAAATATTGAAAATTTTGGCTATGTAAAAGTATGTGTTTCAAGCTTTATTCTTATAATCAGATATATATTAAAATAATTATTTCAAATAGAATTTATATAAATTAAAATAAAATTTAAAATATAATTATTGTTTTTTTTATTATTTAAAGAAAATATCATTAACAAAAGTTTGTAATTATAACGTCTTGTTCTTTTGAATTTTTTAAAGTCAAAAATCTAAATATTATTTCATTTTAGTTCGGATTGGTTTAATTTTTTTATAAAATTTGTAATTTTGCTCATATTAAAAATTGTTTTTTTAGAACTTCTTAATTTTTCGCAGTAGTGGTTATAAAAATACCTTACGCAAAATTCTAGGTACTGCGAATTTTCTTTTGGATATACTGTGTTAAATACATAATAGTAGCTGATAACCTGGCAAAGTAAATCCACAAAAGTAAAATTTTCCTCCTTTACTATTAATATTTTTTCTGCAAAAATATACGCTAGACATAGTATCTAAAACAAAAGGAAATGTAAATTATGAACTGAAAAAAACTTAAGTTGAATAAGTTATGTAAGTGTGAAAACAAAAAAAAATATTTGAAAGAAAACTTACCAACTATAGCAAACCAAGGACCATTCGTCGGAATTGATATAATGATATCTTCTATCGTGGTTCCAAACTGCAAGAAAATTAAATTTTATTTATGCCATTATATATGGAATATATTTACCTTAAATTTCATGTAAAGCAAATCAATTTTTTCTTTAAAATAATTTACTATAGCATTGAATGTAGACTCCTTCTTTGGTATTCTTTGCAATTTGGTTGATTTTAGCTTTGTTTTTTTCAAAATTCATTATAAAAGTGTTCGCCTTCAAATTCATCAGCAATTCGAAATGATCATATAAATATTCCTTGTTAAACATAAAAGGCCAATTGCGCTGTATTTCAATTATAGTTGGGATATTATCCATATTATTGAAATATTTGCGTTGTATAGGAAAACATTCCTTCATAAAGTCCTTAATGGTTTCACGTTCTTCTTGACTAACGAAATTTTTTTCATGTAACTTTATCAACGCATTTTTTTTAATTCCAACGAATTGTAAGATTGCCCTTCATTTATTTCTTGGGGCTGCCAGTTTGCATAAGTTTCCATTAGCGTATTTGCCAATCTTTGTTGTTTGATAGGTATGCATGCTTCTATTCCAGACTTTTTTTTCTTAGGCACCCTGTTTAAAAAATTGTTTCTATTTTTCATTGTTGTAATCAAAGAAAAAGGCGTTCCAGATAATATATGTCCATTTAAATCGCATTCGAGAAAAGATTCCGGATATTTCATAGCAATTTTATCACAAACTGATAAAAATAATTTATTTTTTTATTAAAATATATAATTTAGAATTTTTAATTGTTTAATGTATATGGCTTTTTTCTGATATATGTAGCTGCAAAGTTTTTTCAATAGCTAAATTCCGTTAAATATTATTTTGTAAGAAAAAACAAAACAGAAGAAAAAATTTTAATTTACTGATTGTTATTTATGATTTCCAAATTTTACCTGCACTTTTATTTTACACTTGAAAGTTTTATATATGTAAGTTTTTAATATACTAAATATTTATAACTTAAATTTAATTTTCATGTTTTTATTAAAATCACTTTGAAATTTAAACTTATGCATTTATTCTAAACACAATATTATTCCAAACACAACCTCATTCTGATCGTTTTCAATTCAAACTGAGAAGAAATGAAAAAATGATGACTTGTTGAATAAAAGTTACTCTATAAAATAGTAATATGTCAAAAAATACTTCGTAAAAAAGTAAAATCACTTTCACAAAGTAAATTCTACTCTACTTTGAAGTAATTTTCAACTTTATACATGATTTTTACTGTCTTTCAGAGTAAAATTACCATACAGCATTAATATTCCTCGATTTTGTAGTAAATTTACTCGCTAATCGTGTAAACTGCAAAATTACTCTCAAATCGAGTAAAATTTAATATGCTTTAGCGTATATACTGCATTAATTGTAGTAAGAATTACTATATTTTTTAGCAATTTTGCATACATTTTTTACAGTGTAGGTGTGTATTTTTTTGTTTTCTTTAGAAATTGGAAATTAAATATAAAATTACTTACCTTTTAATAACTCCTACTTTTAATAAATCCTACATTATTTGTGAAAAAGTAAAATAATTGGTTGCCATCCATTGTTATTTATTTAAATAATAAATTCTTAAAATCAATAGCATAAAATGTCGAATTCTTTAATTTCAAGAAATATTTTAGTTATATATGTACACTTAAAAATATATAAATATATAGTTATATACACAGCTAAATACACTTTATAATATGTTTTAAAATACTTTTTATAAATTTTTTTTTTCACAAAAATTTTTTAAGAAACAAGCGCGACAAGAATTAAATTAGAATTTTATTACAACTGATCAATTTTATTTAAAAAACAAAACGCGAAATATTTTTTGTAACTGTATCAACAAATTCTCTCTCTTTGAGAACTTTGAGAGAATTAAAAGAGAAGGCAACTAGAATACAACAAAAACAAAAATCAACAGCGTTTTTTCTTTCAATTTGTACATATTTATATTAAAATTTCTACTAGAATTCTAGTTGAATTCTAGTAAAACTAAATTCTAGTTGAATTCTGGCGAAACTAAATTACCTGGATTTCCAGCTTTTCAACTAGAATCTCAGGTATTATGAATGGATTAAAAAAATTTAACTAGATTTTCAGTTATTTCGTACTCTTTTTTTTCGCAATCTAGGTACAACAAATGAAATACTAGCTATCGTAAATAAAATTCCTAGTAAAAAAAGCTTAACTAGGATTTAACTCCGCATTCTAGTCGAATTTGGTTTAGAGAGTAGGTAGTTTTTCCGAGGCTAATTGATAAAAAAATCTAAGTTGTTAGATTCCCCGAAATTTCTATTAGCACTATAATTATTTTTTATACTTGGTCCGTCCAGTCTTTGCCTATCACAATCCTGTTGAAAGCATAGGGTTTCCTGACGTTTGGTACGATACCGATTCGCGATTACTTTTAACACTTTTATTTTTATTACTAATGTATTCATTTTCAATTTCAATATTATCAACTTCCATAGGCTCTATCCGTTTTTGTCCAGAAACAATCCGTTGATGGCGATGTTGACCCGATTGTATTCTGCAGTTTCCTGACATTGGAAAATTCCTTTGGAAATTGCTATTTCTATTATTATCATAATTTTGATGATTTGGTTAACTCATTATTTTGATTTGAGTTAAATTTAAAATTTTGATTATTAAATTTATTAATTTTATTATTTTTATAAAAACTTTGTTGGTTCGGTCTATTTTGACCTGAATTATTATTAAAAAATTGATTCTTGAAATTATTTGTATTATATTTGAAATTCTTTTTTTTATATTCCTCCCTAATGCAGGAATCTTCAAATCTTCTTTTTCTCATTATTGAAATAATATTACCTAAATTTGTTCCATTATAAATTTTTTCTAATAGCACACCTTGTGTTATTTCTTTTATAGTATTTATTAACATAGTGTCTACATTACTTAAAACTATATGCGAATCTTCTTTATAATAAATTCTAACCTCATCAGATTTATATTTAATAATTTGAATTTCTTCAGCTAATTCACTTACCGAATTTACTTTTAGATTTAATATCCTTTTGTAGATCTTGGCTGGTTCGGTGTCAGGTCGGTATCTCATTTTTAGCATGATTTTTATACTGTTCCAATCCTCTAGATCTGGCAAGTTGATTATGGTTTCCTTCGCTTCACCTTGTATTTTCTCGAAATATATCGTTCTTATTGCATGTCTTCTTTGGGTTGAATCAGTTATTTTGTTTAAGTAGTACTCTACACTACTTACAAATGAGTTGATGGAAATTTCATTCTGTCCTGTAAACGTGGACATGTGTTTAATTTCCTTTATTAAATTCGAATTACACATGATTGTTGCCTCCGCTAATGCTGCTGTTAGATAGTTGATTTGTTCTTGTTGTTGTGTTATCTGCTCTTCCATTTTCTCTGCCATGTTGCTTCGGTCTGTGTCGAATAATTTGTTTCTTGATCTTAATTTTTTGTACATTCACTTTTGTTAGTTTGGTGTCTCCGTTTTCCACTTGCACCAAAAGTTTTAACTTGTTAATTTTTATTTACAGTATTTTGTCTTCGTGTCTACGTTTTTTTTTTTTTAACTTTGTATCCCGATCAAAACACTTTTATTTATAGTTCACTTTATTATTTATTTTCTCTTTGTGTCTACGTTTTTATTTTAAAACTTTGTGTCCTGATGAAAATAAATTTATTTTACTTCGGTATTAATTTTTTTTCTTTTTCACTTTATATTTATTGTATAATTTTAATTTTATATTAAAGTTTAAAGTTTTAAATTTTCTACCGATTAACAATTTGAACTTTTTTGATTCGTATCAGTGGATTACCTATAACGATAAGGAATCCTACCGACTGCGCCAATTATGTTTTCGTTTATAATAAGATTATAAAAAATTAAATTTCATTTTTCTTCTTTATTTTAAATTAACAAATTTTACAATTAAGTTAGAATTAAATTTACAACAAAACCGAATAATTGGCAGCAGCAATCGATTTAACACTTCTTTCACTATCAAAGGTTAAACTGTAATTCCTCTTTAATTTTGTACAATCTGTTGTATTTATAATATTCTTTACAATATATTTACTTATAATTATCGATTATTACTTTTGAGTTTAAACAAATGGAAAAATTTAAAATAATTTCTACTGTTTGATTAACAAGATTAACAATATTATTTTTACAAAATGACCTTCATAAAAATTTCCTAAGTTACATTCTTTTATTTATTTTTTCAAGATTGACAACATTCCTAAATATTTTGGGAAAGTTTTTACATTAATTGTTATCATCTATATTATGTTATTTGCCCATCAGCAATATTTATGTAAGAATACTATCATGTTTTGGCAATTTACGAAAAACGTTAAATTGACTATTACTAATTTGCCAAACATGATAATATGTAAATATGTAAGACTTTTAAATGTTTGCTTTCAAAATTTCTATTTTATTAATTTACTTGTACATAAATTTCATTCAGTTTATTTTAATTAATTTCCTCTTCTTCTTCGGACATATAATTTAAAGGGGCTTCACTTTTAATAGGAAGGTTTTGGTAAAAATTGTGGCAATCTGAATCTATTAAGTGCAAAACTGACAACATGTCCTTCTTTTTTTGCGGATTTATAAAATTTGTTGTATTGTATGTATTCGGAATTTCGAAAGAAGCTATATTGAATGCCTTGTTTTTTTGGAGAAATTCATTTCTTTAAATACCGACTTTTCATCTAAATTATATTTAAAGTATATTAATATATATTCTAAAAATTCTTATACAAACATGAAAATTCTTTTAAATCACCCGTTGACATCACAGATACATTTATGGGGTTCTTACTCGTACCGTTCGCACAAAGTTAAACCAATCCCTGGGAACAAAAATTTTTACATCAGAGGACTTCTTGGCTCTCTCTATTCGGGAATGATCAGCGTCGCATTCTAAATGAGTATGTCCTGGAACTAAAAATTTCATATCTACATACTCCAGATCAAGCATGTCAAACTCAAATCCTAACACGGGCCAAATAAAAAAGTAATAAGATTATGTGGGCCGCAAAAAAAGAAAACAAGTAATTAAATTTTTATAGTAACATTTATGTAGGTTTATTTTAAAAATTACTAATAAGAAAAAAGAAAGTAAAGTTAATATTTTCTCCCTGATATTTGGCATCTCTTTTCTGCTACCATCTTTCCTACTTCGGGGGAAATCTTGTTCGCAGTGATTAATTTTAAAACTGACCCAAGGTGAACGTCAGTAATTCTCGATCTGATTGGAGACTTATTTCCTTTCATAAGTGAAAATAACTGCTCGCACCGATAAGTACTTCCAAACATGGACATAATTTCATATGCTAATTTTCGAGTGTTTTCAAATCTGGCTGGCAAATATTTGTAAAATTCAGAAACGCCAACTTCAATGAATTTTGCCTTTAAATCTGAATCGCACTGGATATCTATTACCTCCATTTGCATGTGATTAGGTACTGATTCTATATTTATCAAGAAAATCGAAGAAAATAAAGTAAACTTGCCTTCCAAAGATTTGAAATCAGAAAACCTTGAAACAAGAAACAATTCATTTCTAAGACTTAAAATTTTTTCCGCATATTTTTGATACGATGCAGTTTCACCTAAACTTGATTTGTACATGTTGCATGTCGGAAAGTGCATTAAATCTTCGTTTTTCAACTGCTTTTCCCAAAGAACTAGCTTACATTTGAATGCATTAACTTGGTCACACATGTTAGTAATGATCTGATCCTTTCCTTGCAGTTTCAAATTTAAATCCGACAAGTGTTTTGTTATGTCAACCATGAAGGAAAAATCTTGCAACCATACTTGATCAGAAAACAAAGTGATGTCTTCATTCTTGGTTATTAAAAACTGACATATTTCTTCTTTCAAGTCCCAAAATTGTTTGAGAACCTTGGAGCATGATAGCCGACGTACCTCGGTATAGTATGATAAACCTGAATATTCGCTTTCTAATTCAGTTAAGAACAGAGAGAACTGTCGCTGATTTAAACCTCGAGATCTTATGAAATTGATGAATTTTTTTATAGGTGTCAACACATTTTCCATTTTTATTACCTTCGTACATAATACTTCCTGATGTATAATGCAATGCGTATGAAACCGTTGGTTTTTCCAGTCATTGAAGGAGCTCCATCTGTTGCTACAGAAGTCAATTTTGATTGAGGTAAATTGTATTTTTGCAGAAGATCATAAACGCAATTAAATATATCTTCTCCTGTAGTAGTGCCATGCATCGGTACTAGTTCCAATAATTCCTCAAAAATGTTGAAATCCGTGTCGCAAGCTCGAAAAAAAACAGCTAACTGAGCTACGCCCCCAATGTCCGTACTCTCATCACAGGCAATGGAAAATGCTTTGAAACAAGATGATTTTTCTTTTATCTGATCATTTAAATTTCTGGCCATATCAGTAACTCTTTCCACAACGGTATTTCGAGACAAAGATATTGCTTGAAACGTCTTCACACTTCCAGGACAAACAATTTCTGCAGCTTTAATTAAACATTCCTTGATGAAATCACCTTCAGTAAAAGGTTTTGAGTGTTTAGCTATCATCTCCGATAAAACGTAGCTTGCATGCACCGCCGCTTCACTCTCTTGTGATACTTTAGTAAACATAAACTATTGTTTTTTCATTCCCAACTTGAACTCTTTTAACTTTTCTTGTCTCATTAAACCTTCGTAGGTATCATATTTTGATTTATGTTGTTCATAATGACGTTTAATGTTATATAATTTTGGTACACTAATAGCATTATTACATATCAAGCAGATGATTTTATCTTTTACTTCAGAGCAAAAATACTCTAATTCCCACTTTTCTTGAAAATTCCTATGTTCGTCAGCAATTTTTCGTTTAGTTTTACTGCCACTTGGTTTTGATGAAGACATATTGAATACAAAGGTCTGAAAAAAAATTAGTAATCGCTAAAACAAAATAATAAAACGTTTTAATTAATATTTTAAAAATTTTTTAAAAATTAATATTTTTTAACTTACCAGACACAGAATAACTGCACAAATTATTGAACGTAACTTAAATTATTTTTTTAAAAAAAAAATTACGTAATACGTAATTTTTTTTTTCTAATACTCCGAAAGAATATTTTCTTTAAACTTTAAGGCACACAATACTTATGGCGATGTACATACGTTATGTATGTAGGTATAATATTATCAAAACTTACGACTTATATATGGCAACCAGTGGTTCGTTATTAATAAATAAATTATGTATAATTACAATTTTTAAAAATTAGGCTACAAATTTTTATTAATTTTTTTTATAAATTTATAAAAAAATTTTTATTAAAATATATTGTCTGGTGGGCCGCAAATTTTTTCGTTGTGGGCCACATTAGACCCGCGGGCCGCGAGTTTGACATGCTTGCTCCAGATGCTTTTGTTTTTGCATAAGCCACGACAACATTGTTGTCATATTTGCATTTCGTTTTTTTCCACCGCAAGTATCCGAGTATGTAATGATATGTGTAACATTTTTAGGTAACGACATAATTTTTTTGTACAAGGAAGTGGCAATTTGATTAGACCCTCTGCCAGCAATCGCTTCATGCCACATATAACAATCAGTGCTTTGTTCTAAACAATCTCTAATCATTAAATTATATACCCAAAGTAAACGCTTATAAAAAATTACGTTCGAAGTTAAACTCGGGGTTGGAAGGCACTGCTGTAAATCGAATACCAAAACTCTAGTTGTTTTATCTATGTTATTTGATTTCTGTTTGTCTGACGCTTTGCTTTTATACGCAGCGTCAGCAAGCTCTTTGTGTTGATCATATTTACTTTTTATATCATTTTTTTGTTCGTTACTTAAATTTTTTTGCTTCAACTGTAAAACAAATTCGTCGCATTTTTGACAGGTATCTAATTTAGGAACTTTAAATTTGTAGCCCATACTATTAAATATTTTTCTGTACGTGTCACAACTAACTGCACTTGTTTCGTGTGTTTGCGCAGCTTCAAGAAAAAGCTCAAACATTTTTCTTATATTTAGATGTTCGTGTAAATATTTTTTTTCTGTATGACGCCTTGAATAATGGCTTTCGTACAAAGGAAAGCTATTAATATGTGCAAGTATTTCCTGTTTCTGCTCTTCTTTTAATTTGTTATGAGGTGCAAACTTTCCCCGTTTATCATCCGTTATAGATCCGGTGCCACTTTGTTTAGCTTTTTTAATTATCAAATCTATTTTACCTCGAGTTACTTTACATAGTTCCACATAAAAAGTTTTACAAACTTTTATTTTATTCTGTGTTTCGATATTATGAACTTTGTACGATGCAGTTATATTCCTTGTTAAGCTATTTTTAGATATTTTTTTTTAGTTGTGTTTGTTTTTTTAGATGATATTGATATTCCAGATTTTAAAATATGATTTTGTTCATTCAAACTTTTTGCAGAATAGTAATTATCAAATAAACTTTTTTGAAACTCTGGTGAAATTTTTTATAACATTCCGATTTACAACATTTACTGATGGGTCTAATTTTTTTTGCATATTTTGTAATTAATTTTCTAGTTAAATAAGTCTTTCCTTCCAATTTGCGGCACATATTTTCTTTTCTATTATAAACTTTTTTCTTTGAAGAAACGTAATTTTCCGCTACACTTAATTCTTCTGGTTCGATAGAGTTTGGTTCTTCGACAGATAAATTCCGATTATCAATAGTATAAGTATTGTCACTATAAGTATCAATAGAATGAGTAGAATGAATAGCATCAGAATCGGCACTTGACATACTAGGTGTCCGGCTTGGAAGGTAGTCTGACTCCGATGGTATAAAATCTTTTTGTGAAGATGTACTAGTGCTATCTGCAATACAAAATAAGAAAAGTATATTCAAAGTATTTGTAAAAATTATTTTTTTTTAACTAACCTTCGTAATAACTTTTGCTGCATGTTGGCTGGTATTTTTCAATTCCAGTTTCGGTTACAACAGTTCCTAAACATTATAAACAGAAAATATTTTAATAGAAACACTTAAATATAATGTAATTTTGCAACATATCTCTACTTTTACTTATGGCCTCTAGTGCAAGCTTTACCATTTGTTTTGAACGATCACACATTTAAAAAAAAATTATGTAGTACCTACGTATCACAGATTAACAGTTTTTTATATACCTATCTAATATAAAATTATTTATAAAACACTTTTGCACTTTCTTAATAAACTTTTTATTTTCAACTGTTATCTTATTATTTCTCAAATTAAGAAATTAAACTTTTATAATATGAATGTACATATAGTTCTTCACAGTTCAAAAACTTTCACTGAACTGAAAAGAATATTGAATAATATTGCAATGCAATGCTAATAAAATTAATAATAATGTGAATTTCTCAGAAAACTAACACTGAACTTAAAAGAATATTGGAGAATATTACAGTGTTATAATTACTTTGTAATAATTAATAATATATTTTAAAAAACTTGAAGTGACATGTTCACAAATTTTAAAACCCAAAAAGCATCACCAAAATGATTTCTAATAAAATGAATAATGTATGTACGTAAACTTCTTTTAAATTTCTCTGCTTTGCCAAAACATGATATTTCTACATATCGTGTTTTGGCAAAGTGAAAAATTTAATACTCAAGTTTATCATGTTTTGGAATTTGTAATTTTTATTGGCTTTATAATCGATAGAGAATTCCGGGTTTTCGTCAGGGTAAAGATATGACCCTAACGAACAAGAATATACTCTTAAGTCAAATTGTGAAAAAAAAGACTTATCATGTTTTGACAAAATTTTGGCAAGGCGGCTTGGTCGGGCACTTTTGGCAAAATCATATTCTTTTGACAATCAAAAGAAATTGTTTTTAAATCAAGTCTTTCTTCTCTTGCCAGTTCAAAAAAAAGCTTTACTTCTCAAAATGTGTTACTCTCTTTTCCACACAAATTTCATTAATTGTTTCTGCATCTTTTGGGTTTTTTTTTTTTCAAATGAAAGTTTTTCCTTTAACCCTTTTTTTTTGTTTTACCTTTTTTTTTTTTATTTACCATATTTAATAAAGTCTTAGTCTATCTTAACCTAGAATAAAGTTAACAAAAACAAGGTTTATTTCTACGTATATTATTTTTTTTAACATTAAAATGTAAAATTTTTTTTTGTTAAATTATTAATAAAATTTTATTAATATAAAATTTTATTTGGTTAATTATTATTCTGCTTTTAATTAATTTCCTTTTTTAAAGGATTTTTCTAAAAAACATTATTAACATTGAAAATGAGTTTGAAAAAACAATGTATTGAATCTTTTTAAGATAAAATTACTTAACCTAATTTAACCTAACTTAGCCTATACTTACAACTAACATTAGTTAGAAACTAACTTAATTTAATTTCTCTTCGACAACACACTCCTTATGACTCCTCTAACCACCAATATCTTCGGGTGATTAATGCATCCCTACCAGGTATATTCATATCATATGTCATAATCAATTATTTTACATGTAGCCCGTCTTCTATAGTTATATAGAATGGGAACATGCATTTGGTTTTGTATAAAACCATATATATCCAAGTAGATAAAGTGCTCAGGGGGAATAAATCCTGTGAGCAGCGTCTCTTTAATGTATTCTTCATTGTGGTAGAATATATGTGATATTGAACCATTCTCTGAAGTATTTAATGCTCTCTCATAATGCTTACGAATTAGTTTTATCATAAAACTATCGATTCTGTTTATGTTTGACATTTTGTACAAATATTTATTGGAGTAAAAATGTTTGTACTCAGTCTCCGGCTTTTTTGATTTGTTTATACAAGTTAATTTACCTGGGGCTTCTTTATTTAAAAAAAAATAAAAAGAACTCGCAACCTTTTCACTTAATATTTTTTATTAATGAAATGAAGAAATGAAAACGCACAAAATTTGGTTTATTAATTTTTATTCCGTCCGATCTGTTTTAATTATTAATTACAATTGAATTATTATTTTCATAATTTTTGTATTTGACTCTACCTGTGCAACGTGATATTTTGTTACTTTCAACGTGATATTGTGTTGCATGGGAATTCGTTCCAAAATTCGTTCCCAACAAAAATGCTGACTCGGCGGCATGTGTTAAATTATTATTTTTTAGGTTGTTAACTTTCGTTTCAAAATATTTCTCAACAAAATTGCTGATTCGGCGGCATGTGTTAACTTTTTATTTTAGGTTGTTAACTTACATACTCTTATGCACTTTCTCTCAAATACCCTGAACTTTTCCATTAAGCTAGCGCTTATATTGTACTATATAGGAATACCATATGTCAAAGTTGGTCTAACCAGGATTTGATATGCTATTACTTTTACCCTTGTACTAACAAATTTATTGTAAAAATTAAATGATTATACGTATCACGAAAGAGTATTGGCATTTTGTGAAATTTATTTTTAACAACCATATTTTGCAGTAATCTTTTATTACGTTAAGCATTTTTTGCGTTTCCAGTTGTATATTTTTACGCTGTCATTAGCTGAATATATTATAATGTTATCAGCAAAAGGAATGGTGAAATTAGTACCTTTTAATCTTTTAAGCATATTTAACACTAGATATACCAGCTATTTATATATACCTATTTCTACCAAACCAGT